GAAATAATAATAATAATAATAATAATAATAATAATAATAATAATAATAATAATAATAAAAGAACTATTGGCTTTTGACTTCCCTCTTTTTATCCATTTGCTCATTTGCAATATTTTGTAGGCATTCAGGCCCCCTTAAAAGCCAGACTGTAAATAGTTATATTTACTATGCTGCATATATGGGAACCATTCTTGCTTAAATTTAGTTAAGGTTTTAATGTGTAATCTCTTCTTTTAAACATCAATAATTCTGCTAATAATAGGAATCATGTAGTGCTTAACAATCCATTCAACATAGACTGTAAGTCAAGAATCAAGTCAGTTTTGACTTTTTCCCCTAAGCTATATATATAGGAACAAAAGTAAACCTAAAAACAACACACCCATTATTATTTATTTATGTATATCTCTATGTGAAAGTCCATGCTATTTTATTTTTCAGTAAGGATATAGTTAATTTATAATCTCTAGTACTTCACTCAGGCTGCCGCACCCCTACCCCCAGTTTTTTAATGAATATATTTTTATATATTGTTGTAAGTTATTTTAATGTATTGTTATTTGTTATTGTAAAGAGCTTCAAGATCATTCAGCAGAATGTCTTATATACATATATTAAAAAAGAATAAATGTTAAACAGTCTTTGCCTATTTAAAATGGACTGTTGCTGTGACCTTCAAAGGGAGCAGGAAGTAAAATCTGGAAAATTAAGTTCTGAACAGCACCTAGTTTTTCATTCAAAACTAGGTTATTAAGGAGTCAGTTTGTAAATATTGTACATCACTAAATGTAGTATTAATGGTAGCAAACATAGATGGGTCAAAAATAAAATCCTGTGTGACAAATGCATATATTTTTAATAGATTTGTAGCCTAGTAGATTATATGAATGCTTTTGACATAATTTATCTTGATTTTAACAAAACAGTTCAAAATGCTTTGATATTTTGCGTAATGATTGGATATGTTATAACAGCATATGTATTTACATATATTGTAAAACCATATTCAAAGAATGTTTATTTATTTATTTATTTGTTTGTTTGTTTTCCATTAAACGGCAGGGAAATTTTGGTAATAACATGTGGTGGGGTTCTGTCTTGCCAAAACAATTAACATTTTCA